CTACTACAACTCCTGGGATACTCCATACTCCAGGACGCCACGACGCAGGGATGCCGTCAGCACGTTTGGGTAATAACACCCCTTCTAACAATGGATTCAAAAATGGTGGACTCGCCTCACCAATGAAAACTATGGCATCGAAGATATGCCGAGGTTTCTGGTTCTCTCGCCACGGCGTCGTCCACTACAGCATCCTACCCAACAATGCCACAGTGACGGCAGAGACCCTCTCTAAAGAATTGCAGGAGGTCAAGGTGAAAGCTGCCGCCTTGTCCCAGAAACTTGCAAATCCGTGGTTGCTCTGAGACAACGCGCGCCCCCACAAAGCGAGAGATACTCAGGCCGTCCTGGACAGGCTGGGCATCGAGACGATCACGCATCCACCGTATAGCCCGGACATTAGTCCATGCGATTACCACATCTTCCGGTCCATGCAAAATTTCTTGGACGGAAAACAGCTGAAGAACGAGCGCGACCTCGAGGACGTGATCGAGGACTGGGCCGAGTTGCGACCGGCCAGGCCACGCTTTTTTTTGGGAAGGAATGGAGTTGCCTCTCTGAAATCTTATCCCCGATCGTTGGCGAAAGGTAGTGGGTATGCATGGAGATTATATCATGGACCGGTAAGTTCAACTTGGTGAGATATCTTTACCAGCTCTGAAAAAACGAATGGCCCAACGAACTTTGTGGACACCCTAATAGTAGGAGTGGGGGTGCTGGTGTCTATAAATACATACTCAGATCACCTTCGACTGAAACAAAAGGTGTTTACATTCCAGCTCTATGTGAACTCCGCGATTATAACTCCGGGTGCCGTCATCTGCTGCCACTTCGAACCTTTCACTGAAGCCATGCCTCCTCCATGTGCCTGTTAGTAGAAGACTACCTATTTTTTAATCTTTACAAAGACATTTTTTTCAAACTTCATTCAGCTGGAGTGCTGCTCTCCTTGTGCAGAACTTATACGTACTAGTGTCTGTATTTATAGTCTCTTGCCGCGACAAAAATTGTAAATCATTACTGCTGTTCTGAAAGGCTTTCTCCCATGTCTGAGCGGAATAGTTCTCAATTTCCATCCGACTTCATCCTCATGTCCACAGCAATCTTTGCTCCTCAAGCGCTGCCGAATGCTGCCGTTCATTCCTCTGGAAGGAAACCTGCACTCCAAAATCTCCTGGGAGAAATCTTCCGCGTTCACCAGCTCTCGGCTATTTCACATTGACGCCAGACGAGTTGTTTTCCGGAGTACAATTCGTAATCTCCGTCTTTAATGATTCGGGTGGTGATTTTCCAAATTGTAAAGTGGCCGGCTATTGGGCAAAGATCGAGCCGTTTTTACGAGGAATTACGTCTGATGAAATCAAAGGTGGCGCCAGGAAACAGGAAAAATCTGAGTAACTGCCATAGAAGGAAGGAGTATCAACTTACAAATTAAAAAATTTCAGTTTCTAGGTTTCTTCTACATTTCTCTAGAACGCTCATCTCTGTAACGACGTCAGGATTGGCCTGGCACTCGAGGAACTCTTCCAAACAAGCCCCAACATTTTCTTCAGTCAAATTCTTGTTTCATACTCCGGCTTAAAGATGGTCTCCAGGGATTGGGATGTACTCTATGCTTTTAAAAGGCCCTTACAGAGAAATCGCCACGTTTTCTCTTAGCGATTACCATGAGATTCTTCCAAATGACACCCGAATGGTCCTGTGGGATCCCTTTAGTGCACCTTCTGAATGCTTCTTTTCTCATTCAGTACTGGCTTTCTCCCTCGCAATCCTTATTCAATGTCGCATCTATGGCTTAGCAAAATCGTTGTTGAGGAATCCCCAACGGGGCGGTCGTATCTTGGGGTAGTGTCAGAATTCCCGTGGTCGATGTATACCTAAATAAAATAGTGCCCAAGTAGTTCGCGTTACCCAGCACCAGTAACGGCAAGGGAAAGGACAGGAACTAATCGTAAGTTCGCAGTGCTTGTCGTGCGGCGTTATAGACTCGAGCCATGTGTCGGCAAATATCTTACAATGTGTCATAAGTAGTTCGACCGTGCAGCGACCCTCAGAGCAAACTTAAAATTCCATGAGGGATGAGATTCCATTTTCCCCATTCCTTTAACACACATATTCACATGGCCAGACAGGACAACTCGTCTGTCGTGAACAGCGTCAACTACGCCCAGCCAGCGGCATATGACGACTGTCTTGTCACGAACCCGCCCCCTCACCCCTTAACGCTGCCTAGTCGCCCAAAATTTTCGTTTCCCCCACATCGCCCTGTATTTACGAAAAGTTCGCTAGAATCCAAAATGATAGAACACCTTGCTTATGAAACCGTCACCAAAGGAGTCTTGTTTGACCTTGGGAAGTCCTTCAGCAGCTCTCCAATTTCTCTCTTTTCGGCGTATTAGCATAACCTAGCCGGTAAGTGATATTATCTGTATCAGGGCACATCGTTGTTGAGGAATCCCCAACGGGGCGGCCGTATTTGGGCCGAGAAAAATTTATTTCGATAGTTGATTTTTCTCGCTTCACGGACATTGTACTCTCCTCATCATATACGGACTGTCGGGCGGTCAGTGCGGCTGCGTTTTCCGCGGTGCCAAAGTCTTTCTGCACCAGTTGTTGAAGCGAGCAAATGACATGATAGCATTATATCCTTCGTATTACTCGTTTTCTACCACTTTTGTCGCATACGCGTTTCAATGAAAAGGCTGAGAACCGCTTGAAACCGCGTGCGCACTCCTACTGGCTGCTACGCCCCGACAGTCCGTAATGATGAGGAGATGTAAGAGGGAGGAATGTACTTGCTCATTGTTGGGGGGGGGGTGACACGTATTTACTTTCTAGTCTCTTTAGAGTGGTGGTTGACTTTTTGTGAGTTTCCTGTTTCATGGGCGTGGCCAATACCCCCCCCCCCCTCGGCAGCAAACTTTGGCAAAAAATAGGGAAGTTTTCGGGAAATTTTGGAGAAAGTGGCAGGAAGTTCTTGAAGGTCAGTCCGACTTCTCAAGAAAGCCGAAATGAAGTGAATAGTGGTAGCTCGAAGTGGTCCTGCATATTGGAGAGTGATCTCGAAAATTGGACCTATGAATGAATGAGGTGAGTGCTCTTACTTACAATCAGGCTTGATGATGAGCTACACATTGTCTCTTAACGTCCACGTAGGATATTAGATTAGATTCGGTTGCTGTATAGCATAGGTTGATTTCCAATTCCATTCGAAGCGGGTTCCGCCCCAAAACGTAGAACCAAATGAAGTTTTCTTCATCATCTCGTGGTGAAGCAAAAGCGGACAGCCTTTCCAATGCAACCCAATGACGTAGCTTATGGAAACTTCATTACATGCATGAACGCGAATAGATAATTCTGTGAGAAACTCCAGTAACTCCATGAAGAGCTTCCCATCCCATCGCATTGGTCAGTTAGTTGTGCTGCAATTTGTCGATTTTTTTTGCTCGGTGGGAGTTTCATTCGGGACGCTTATTGCTTCTGCTCGATCGGCCCCAGCGTCACTGCATTCGCCGCCACTTCGGTTATGAATGATTGCCGGCTGGCTAACGCTCAATTGTCAATTCGTGCTGTCAATTTCATGAGAGTGAAGAGTTCTAACAGCCAGTGATACAACTTCAGTCTCATCTTCCCTATAGAGTAGGAAACGATTCCTATTTATTTACTAGCTTATACTAGTCAATGGTGCCACAATCGCTCATATTATATGTGCATGCATGTTTTCAAATTCCTCTTTCCCAGGAAAGCTGGCCAATAATCTCACGGCACTGAGATCCATTTTATGAATTGTCTGCACTCACATATTTTTGACGAAGCACGCATCCCAGGGGCTTCCGAACCTGCAAGAAATATAAACAAACCGAACCTCACGAGCGAAAATTTTGCTCAAATTCATCTTGAAAAACGAAGACTCTAATTTCCCAACATTGGTGCAATTCCTTTCGGCGCAACGACTGCGCCATGATATAGACTTCTACCCTTGCATTCCAAATGCATTATACCCTCGTCATCCGGGCAGTTGATTAGGGCGGTCGTCAACGGCCGCAGCGCGTGCCAGGAACTATTTGCTTTTTCCAGACTAATTTAGTCATTTTTTCCAACTTTTCACTGTTTTGGCTACTTTTTCCCAGATTAGCAGCTCCTTATCTTCGCAAGGTGGAAAAAAATGAACCTAAAATTACACTGGAAAACTCAAATAGTTCCTCGGGCACGGCGCTGCTCGGCCCTTTGACGACCGCCCTAATCAACTGCCTGGATGGCGAGGTTAATTCTGACCAATCGAAGAAATTCAAGGACCGCCCAAGGTAAAGGCCACTGTTTCCATTCTCTCTGGCCAGTCAGGTGCCACTTTACCAGCTCCAAGATTCCATTCTCGGGCCACCCCGGCCCATAGATGAGGCTCCTCTAACCTCTCTGCACTATCCTGAGTCCCTTATTTGGAATCATTAACTTATCACGACTTATTCCGATTATTCCTTGGCTTATAGTGGTCCGTTGATGGCGATTCTTTCCGACGCAGAATTTCAAGCAGACGTAATGCTTCCCAAGTACGTTCTATAGCATTAGGTGTACTTAATATATCCAAGGCGCGGCATTGCGAGCATACTAAAAGAGTATTCCCTGGGTAGACCACTTGCGGCTGACTAGCATTGCCTAACGATGGGAAGTGAATTGGCCTGCAATGCCTGATGACTCCGCATCACTAACAAACTTCTTTGCCTACTCCTTGCCGCTGCTCGGGATGTGCAAGGCCTGCATCTTAGTCATAATTCGATTGGAACTTTGCGTACACTCTAGGTGCTCGCTGCTTATTATTATGCAGAGTTATTTTCCTATTATTGTTTTTTTTTCGCTTACAGTTGCCAGAAAACCATTCAGCGCTACTTTTGCCGTTATTAGTCGTACCAAAGCCGCATAAGCTGCTCCAGATGTTTCTCTAAGGTGTATCGCGTTATTAGTTCGTACCAAAGCCGCTAAAGAGCTTGCTCCAGATTTTCGCTATGGTGTATGGTCATGTAAGCGATGCTGGCTCAGGACGCTCCACAATCCTTCCGCTGCGGCGGGATGATTCGATGGAAAAGTGGAAGCTTTGCCCACCTAGATATATGCCAGCAGACCCTACGTTCAGGTAAGATGCAGAGCTATTACATACAGAACTCGTGCATCGAGTCGCTGAACCTCTCCTATCATATGAAGGGGACGTCCAATAGCCCTGTGTAGAGCCAGGACAGCTCTACGTTGGGGATCCTCGCGGTGGATCGTATCTGGTCGCTGAATAAGGAAGGGTTGTACTTCCCTTTGAAAAAAAAAAACTATTTCGCTTGTTGATGACAGAGATGCCTTCGATTGTTGACCTTTATGGATTTTTCTATTTTCGAGTGAACTATTATACATATCCACTCCAGGCCTACAATAGGAAGAAGGTAGACTTTTAGGAATACGGTCGAAATCATGGTGGATGGGGAAGGGAGGGGGGAGAGGGTTCTTGCTATACGAGGAAATGTTGAGTGTCGTTATTTGCAAAAATTCCACTCCACGGCCTGCCGATCCACCATCCTTTGCAGTGTATTCTTGAATGAGCTGAGCCCAGGGCACGCCATCGTTGTGGTGATCACAACGGGGAGGGGTCTTATTTGACCGCGAGAGAGAGGGGGGTCGTATTTGGTCGTTGTTGGGAGAGGGACTGCCAAAGATCTATGCTACTATCGGATAGTTGAAAATGATAGTTGAATACTTACGACCTCTCCCCCACCCTCCCCGCTCGACAGCAAAATTTTGGGGAAAAACCAGAAATATTCCGGGAAATTACTGGTAGGAGGTTAGGGGAAATCTGATGAATTTTCCTGTTTCATACTGGGTGTATTTCCCCGACGGAAGATTCATGGCTGAAAAAGTTGAAATTTTTTGGGAAAAAAATGGAAAAAGTGGTAGGAAGTTGGGAAAATCTAGGAAAGTGGTAGGTAGCATGGGGAGGGGGGGTCGTATTTGAGGATGGAATTAGGGGGATCGTATTTTTCAGGAAATGATCACAACGCGTTGGCGTGCCCTTATTCAGCCGCTTCTTATCGAACCCATTAGGATGTCCAGCGCGATGCATAATTGCGAAGTCAAAATTACCCTCTTCGAATCGCTGAAACTAATTTGAGCCCTCTAGAGGTCATCGCCGTACAAACATATGTACACTTGAGCTTCTACGGTTCCAGATTTTCCATCGAAGGCAAAAAAGAAAAGGGTGCCAAAAATAGTCATTTCGATTGGCGTTTTGATCCGCCTCAATGGCCTAGAATTTGACCAAAATTCAATCAACGGAAATGTCATTCTACAAGCAGGGTGGGGGTCGTTCTGTCCCGCTGAGGAGGGGGGCTATGTGCTTTTGAGAGAAATTTGCGTTGTGGAAAGAACTTTTCCCTAGTAGTCGACTTTTCGCGATTTTCTCGTTTCACATTGGCTCTATTTTGGGTGAAAAACTGGAAAATGTGGGTAATTGGTAGGTGTTGGGAAGGGAGGAGGGTCGTACCGAGACCCTCATTTAGGTGGGGGGTCGTACCTACACCACCATTTCACAAATCACGATGCTCTACTCTGTCCACACGGCAGGAAATTCTCCTTCAAGTGATATGGAACGCTTTGGCGGAGCAGTTCATCTTCTCAATGAATATTGAGTTAGAAATAAACGCATAGGAGAATACAATAGTTCGAGAGTGGGTAACGTAAAAGGGGCACTATTGAACTATTCCTACCTCGAAAACTCAGAAAAAAATTTTTTCGCTGGAACGTTGTCGATAGGCACTTTTTTCACCAAAGTCGATGAAAACTTGCATTTGGGGGTTAATTGAGGTCCTGATTACGAATCCAACATTCATTTTTGGCGTTGGCGCCATTTGGCGCCATTACGCGCCAATTTGGCGCCATATTGGCGCATAATGGCGCCAAATGGCGCCAGCGCTTGAAACCAGTGTGATATTCGTAATCAGGACCTCAATTAACCCCCATATGCAAGTTTTCATCAACTTTGGTGAAAAAAGTGGTGGGCGCCAAATTGGCGCATAATGGCGCCAAATGACGCCAGCGCTCGAAACGGATGTATATTCGTGATCAGCGCATCGAATTACATCTATAGGCAACGTTTCAGCGAAAAAATTTTTTCTGAGTTTTTGGGGTAGGAATAGTTCAATTGTGCCGTAAAAGGTTCATTTATCTTCTTCATGAGGACTATTATGCATAAATGACGTAACCTGCTCTCCATTCATTCTATTTCGCATATTTTGTTCAACAGACACCAAATCGCCGTTTTTCGCACCAGCGCTAGCAATTCGAAATCCACTTTGCATGCATTGGATGCAGTGTCCAAGAACTTTTCGCCTCCAGCCCATGTTTCGCTCATTAGAGTGGGCGGGGTCGATTTGGTGACGACGGCAACGCGCTACCTCACGCCATTCTGCACTTTATCTTCCATTTCCCGTTGTTGTTTTATCCATCATTCCTCGTTCATGACAACTTCATCGAACTGACATTTTTAGTTTCGTGAATAGTTCAAGGTTCTTAGCTTCACACTGCAAAACCTGACAATGCTATTCAGCTGAATGCTGCATCTCGAACGCAGACATTCACTTGTTCTTCCAGTATATGTATAGCAGTAATTGTATAGTTTTGCTCTTTCACTAGTCTGCTCAGTCAGTTGCCCTTGCCAAACAGCCTCCCACAGTTATACATCCCTTCTCGCGGATAACTAACTGTAGAAGGCTAGTTTATGGTATTCAACAGCTTGGCTTTTTATTTCCTGCCATGTCAAAAATGTAGGCTTCTCTGGCAGGCTTCTTCAGTGGAACTTGTGGAATAGCAATGTGAGCACGACTCCCCTTCTCCCCGAAGGGGGTGTTCTGCCGTAGCTGGAAATTTTCGTAAAGTAGGGCCGTCCTCAAAATTTTTTCCTTTGGTACGACCCCTTCCTGATTCCTTTTCTGCCAACCATCTTCCTAAATTCTCCCAACATCCTACCACTTTTCCAGAGCTTTTTCTTGATTCCAGGACACATCATTGGTTTCATTGGCATCCCCCCCCCCTCGGCCTCCGGCTTTCTGTCCCTCCCCATCAAGCTGCCGAGCGGGGTGAGGGCGGTGGGGAGGGGGTGCGTTGGGGTATATAGTACGCATGAAACAGGAAAATCACGAAAAGTCAACCACCACTCCCACCACTCCTAGAAAGGCCAGAAAGTAAATACGACCCCCCCCCCTTTACAACGTCCGTGAAGCGAGAAAAATCAACTATCAAAATAAATTTTTCTCAGCCCAAATACGACCCCCCTCTTTTGGGGATTCCCCAACAATGATGTGCCCTGCTTGATTGTTCCTATTCCGCGGATGAGCTGTGTAAGAGACATGAAACAGGAAAAAAATGAGGAGAAAAGTCGACATCTAAAAAATCTTTCCCTATGGCAAATAGTAGCTCCCTTCAACGACCAAATACGACCCAATTCACTGGCATCCCAGCGCATGTATGACCTGCCCTAGTCTCGGTACGATCTCAGTTTACAACTTGCCGTTGCAGTCTCCAACACATTTGCCTATTCCCTAGACTTTCCCAGAATTTTGCTGTCTAGCGGGAGGTAGGCACCTAAAAACAATTATAGAAAATAGAATTTTCGGCGTGCCGCCTTCCAGGAGAGGTAAAAATAGCTCGCGCGGAACGGCGAATAGCAACAATGAGAAAAACATTTTACTCATGGTAAAATACGACCCCTTTGCAACGGTCTAATTCCATCCCCCTTCCCTTATACTAGCCCTTTTTCTTTATTGGCTGCCTCATGCAAGCACTAAACTTCCTTCTGCTCAATTTGGACGTGCCTTTCGCTATATTGATGCAGAATGTTGCAGTCGGAAAGAAATCCTGCTTCTCATCGCATATGGTACCATTTCGCTCCGAATCACCTTGTCAGAACCTATTGGGAGATCTTTCATCTGCCAACAACCCTGTAGGGTCAGACCAGGATGGCGTAACGCTGCCTTAGAAGGGGCATATTGCTCTGCAACCACTGCACGTCATCGTTGGGTATATCATAACGGGGGTCGTATTTTGCTAAGATGTTTCGTATCTCACCTTTATAGAATTTTTTGACTCTTGACTTTCACGACTTACACATGTTATCCCCTCCCCCCCCCGGGTTGATTGCACAGTTTTGGTGAGAATTCGAAAATTTGATAGAAATTTAAAAGGGAAGAAGACAGGCTGTGAGAGGCGGTCGTACCGAGGTCAAAACTGAAGGAGAGAGGGATCTTATTCTGCAAAACTTTTCCACAAAGCGATGGCTACTGGTACTGCTCTGTCCCTAATGGCACGCATTGCGCGATTTTCGGCATAGCGACCAAGCCTATACCACGAACCCTATGAGCCCTACACTTTTGTTTGAGAACTGGGGCATGGTGCAATTCCACTTCACAAAGTTCATAACGAGCTCTTTGTCACCCTCTTGAAAGTACCCACGTCCTTAATAGCTCCCGTTCTGAGAGGTCTGGATTGAAAATCTCATCAGAATAATCTCAAAAGTGCGACATCTTCATTTGTTCCCAGTTAGGGAAGACAATAACTCTCAGAAGACTCGAAAAGCTCTCTGCCCCATCAATTACGTTCAAGTGGCGCAGCAGAGGAAGCAACAAGCAGTATGGGCGGCTCTGTGACCATTAGTGTCAGCATAGCGCTCTATCGGTCCTCGCTGAAGCTTAGGAGCTTAGGGTTCAAATAGAATTACTATGTCATACTGTAATTTTAATTTTTTAGTGATTTGAAGGCAAACCTCTCTAGTGGGGGTCCCTACCAGTCACCATGGGATGAAAGGGACTACATATGCTATGGGACAAAGAAGATCGTTCAATTTCGCAGAATTTTCTTTGTTACAACCCGTTTGGAAAAACTGCCCTTCTTCAAACTCTGTATTCGCAGTTTACAATAGGGCAATCTGTCACAAATTTCAGAAATGGTACTTCAGAATTTTACTGTGACGTCACTAAGCGGTGACTTCTAGTTTTTTTTTAATACGGAAGGGTTCTAATGCAAATTTCCGGATTTTTCCTCATATCATCTGTCACCACATCGTAAGGAGGATAAGCAAATCGAGCTGAGAACACCTAAAAATGGGAAACGAGTTTCTTGGTAGCGGATTAGCTGTCAGCAAGCGCCAGTACTCCCGCGCTGTTTTGTTCCGAGTCAAAGATTTATCCTTGTCGGCTGGAAAGTTCGAAAGGAGACTACATTCTTCTTCACTGCGGATGATGGGGCACCAGGGAGGTGGCTTGACAACGTACATTTTTTCAGCAAGCGATAAGTCTGTATTATATCGTTCGCATCCGTCGTTTCTCCCCCCCCCCCCCCCCCCCCCCCCCCCCCCTAGTTCATTTTCGTTTACCGCTCCAGCAACTGGTGGGGAGCGAGCTGGCGGCGCTCCAAGCCCAGCCTCACTGACACGCCCCATCATCCGCGACGAACAGGACTCTGAGAATCGCATACTCCTACATGAATGATCCTGCTTCTGATTCTTTAAACGGTTTTGACACGTTGCCGAACAGGCTTTTCTTTGCAAATTTTAATTCGCTTCATTGCTCCTGTTTACGTTCGTTATGTCATACTTTTCCCTTCAAATTTTCTGTTTCTCCAAACTAAAAAAATTAACTGAGTGGTGAATAAAGACGCAATTTATTCAATGTGTGTGTGTGTGCAGGTGCACGAACTCACTGTGGACAATCTCAATGACTCATTTGGAACCCAGCTGCGAAAATCCATTTCTACTTAATCGAGTTTGCAATCAGTGCCTAGCAATTTTGCAACCCAACGAAAATGGCCCATCACAATAAAAGTGTGTAAGGGCTATTTCACGTTTCTAGCGTCCAGAAGCTCCATTTTCAGGTCCGTCGGCTTATTTTAAAATGGCTCACAAGTGGAAAAGTTTTGCTAAAAAAACATGAAACATCATTAGGCGATCAGTGCTGTTTACTTTGCGAGCGGTCTCTGGAGCAAGTTTTACTACTCTTTCACTTGTTTTACTACCAGTTGGCTGATCTGCTGTTTCAACTATTCATTTACGGTTTCCAATTGGTCTGAGCTGAAATCAGGGTGTAGTAAAGGACATCCGAGGCGCGGCGTCACCCTGGAGCGAGAATCCGTAGTTAAAATCGACACAGCATCCTAGCGTCAGTTTAAACGTGTTACATATGGCAGCTAATATTGAGTTAAGGCCGTCAGATAAAGTGTAAAGGACGTAGACAGCCGCGACACAATTGAACTAAACCAAAAGTGCTGCGCTAAATCAACCAGCTACAAATACTAAGTTATCTGCACGACTGCTGTGGCTTGAATGTCCTGAACTACATCCTGGGATGCATTCTTTGGCAATCTTAAAATAACCTGGCTGTATCTGGCCTACATAATGGTCCTTACAATTTACGGTTTATCCACTGTCCTTTAATCGCTTATTTCTCGGGGTTATGATTAGGAGATCTGAATTATGGCGACACCCTTGAACAAGCCGTACAAGCGTAGATGTCCCAATGATTTACTCGTTGACTTTCATATTTCGCTTCTAACAACTTAGGTTTTGGTGCGAATGACGCGCACGCGATAGCTCTTGCCGCCTGGCTGCGGCGCAATAACTCTGAACCTCTATCCCATACACACTATTTCATCTCATCCTATTTCGTTGCGTATTACTATTTCCTCTTACTGATGATCTTGATTTCAGTTCTACCGTTGTTTGTTTTGTTATCTATACATGAGTATTCGGGTAGTGAATAATAATGATTTCAGTTTTGATCCCCTTTTTGATCAAAGTACAACAATGACATCGTGTGCAGTAGCACGAGCAAACTCTCCTGCTCCCGATGAGCTTGAATGTGTCGACATGCTCCATCCGTTGAGCTCCGACAACAACCTGCCTTTGATCAGCACTACTCCTATGATGCCTCCTGTGGTAAGAATTTTTTGAGTATACTTGTTTTTCGTTGCTGTGTGGACAAGATCATAAGTTCACGCAAGATACAGTACCCCGGAAATTGCACGTAAAATTAAAGGGGTGACTCCGTCAATGCACATGACTGGGCGCACTGTAAGCAGATTTAGTTGCCCATTTTATTAACTTGCGTTATACGGCTTTTGCACAGCTTGGCTGATGCGCGTTCTTGTGCGCGGACTCTTCTGTGCAGACCCGGTGCGCTCGTGGATCTTGGGTACCGTATCCGGCGCCTTTCTAAATCTAGAATTTAGTGATGGGTGACCCCATCCATTTATAAAGCCTGTATTAAATGAAATTCTATAGGTAGAATTGATTTAAGCAATGTCGAATTCACACCCGATCTAAATATACATGACCTGTGTCAAATCAAGACAAGGTGCCATTTGTGATCTACTCGACTTACTATACACCGTAGTACCACTTATTCTCACGAGCAGTCAACTGTTTACAAGCAATTATATCAAATACCATTGTTACTAGCCTGAAAGCGAACTTTGGAGTATGGAACAATCTGAAATAAATCAAATAAACGATGCTCCAGCGGAATGCATATGCAGTCGTCCAAAGTTCGCAATGGGTTTAATCTTGGTCCAACTCAGAACGAGCCATATGAATCAAGCAAGGCCATTTTCCATGAGGTTGTACTTCCAATATACTGTAAAGTGCAGCGGCTCCGTTAGAAACTTTCAGTGTATTTTTTCTCAGTTATGTTTTTCCCAGGGCCCGGGGATCGAATCCAAAATCGGTTCCTGCCTAGGGTAACCTGCCTTTCTATCCTTCGGGGATGATAAGTTGGTACCGGATTCTTCTGCCAGGATACGAACACTAACCTTGTACATTGGCCGGCCCCGCAAGTCATTGTATAGGCCACATCGCATTCAATAAGCCACTACGATTCTGAATGGAAGTAGAATGCGTGCCGCATCCCACAAAGAGATCTATTAACAGCCAAGTCTCTCCATTCTTTATCTTTCTATGGAGTAACTTGGGCGTCCTTGGCCCTAGGTGAGCTCCACCAGGCCACATCATAGGGATGGGTGGAATGGCGGTGAAAAGTGCCCACGAATTTCCTAGTTCGGGCTAATTCCCTATCACAACCTTCGTGCCCGCCATCCCACCAAATTTTCCACAGTCATGCCGTCAAACCGGCGAGCTTGAGATGAAGATCTCCGATTGACAATCAGAAGTATTATGATTACCATAATAGTGCTGTAATAGTTTCGTCGTACCGACAACTACCGGGAGTAGCAAACGTGAAACGGGACAAATCAACAATTGGGAGGATTCTCCTTCCCTCACCCCTTCGTAGCGACCGAATATGACCCTCTTGATGGTAGTCATTGCACAACGATTATGTTTACTCTGAGCCCCAGAGATTCATCATGCAGCCGAGCGATCCCATTGGCCCTCTCTTGTGAATGTCTGGGGGGAATAACTAGTGCCCACGGGTCCGTCTGCACTGCACACATTGAAGGGACATTGCCCGACTTTATCGGGAGATTCGAGTGATCACTGTGAAATTGCGTAGGCGTTGTAATGTTCAAGTGTATAAACAGTGGGGGCCGATGTTTTGGAAAAAAACATTTCATGGTGGCGGAGCCTCTCATGACGCGTAAGGCTGTCAGAACATGTCAATTCGAATATCTTCTGGAGTTCGAGTCTGTGGCAGCTCTTCTATAGAAAATATCTGACGTACATATCTTGACGTTCGCCGAACAAATCGTCAATATTTGAGTGGGAGGAAAGGCGACACCATGCCCTGAACCTGTCGCAGTAGTACATTTCAACGAAGATGAAGTTGTCTCTTTTAACCAGTATCAACTTCTCACTTAGTGTGCCCGTTCTGTTTACGGACCGTTGAGAGACTCAGATGCTGGTCCTTTTGGAGATATGCAAGCGCGATAGCAGATTGATAGATCCCCTAGGATTAGGAAGCCGGAGGCGATGGAACGGACTCGATAACTTTATCTGCTAGTAGTAAATTATACGAAAAACTCAGCTGGTTCTGTTTCCATCCCCGCGTCCCCGAGCCAAGTAAATCAGCCTTGAGGTTGGACCCCCTGCCTAAGAAAACTTTGAACTGGGTAGGCTTTAAATTTGAGTGTTGCATGGAAGAGCAACTATGAATGCTATTTTTAGTACTACGTATCCCGGGATGGAATTTGTGTTCCAGCGATGTTTCATGTTTTGCGCTTTACTTCCGGGTCGCAAGGAAGCAGGCTGATAGCACGGAAAACAACCACGGCGAGCCCGTCCGTGTGGTTCCCTCCATAAACTTCACACCTAGATAACGTTGAGGAAGCACGAGAAGAAGAACTCTCAACTACAGAAGAGCCCGCACCGGGAAAACTCCCAGTTTACTCACATCAGAGTTACAGCAGGATTGCATGCCTCATTGGTGGATTAATATTGTATCCCCACATAATTCATAGACCCTTGGGATACACATTTATGTGTATAACCAGTGATTGAAACTTGCAGCTGATATCACCACAATCAGTTACATGGGGGGGGGGGGCGGGTGTAGGATCGACGGGGTTATTTACCTTGTGGAGTTGTGCCAAACACTATCCACAAGTCGTAGAGCTTATTAACAGCCTGCACAATCATGGCCAGCCTCGAACCCCCCTTCCCTCCCACCCCAGAAGCCTAAAGTAGTTGCTTTTCTTACCCTCATGAGCTTTGACTCAATTCTGCTTACTGAAGTGAAGGCTTGGAGAACCTAGAATCCAATGGAAATTAGCGCGCTGTCTTAAACATTTTCCTATTGAATCTAAAAATTTTCCGAATGAAATTGAAATTTGGAACTTTCATAACTAGTATATGGAATCAACCAATAGGATTCGTTTTGCAGATCAAAACCACTGACAGACCAGTTGTGTTGTGCATGGCTCCAGTACACAAACTTCATCACGAAGATGACACCGGTGACGATAAGGAAGTTCGAGACGCGGTCGGGGGTATTCAACTGAACTAAGGCAGTGTTCCTTGCATTGACTTTTATTTTCAAAACCGTTCTATCCTGCCTAATACACGGCCAAAATTTCTGTGACTTCCAACAATAATAGGACGTATACTTTAACGTTAGCTATCAGTCACAACCTAATTCTCGGCCTCGAAAGGGGAGTGTCTACGGAATGGGTTGCGCAGCGATGCCGGCGTATAAGTGGACCGTCGACGTGTGATTGGAGACGTTTTTTGTGACCTACGCGTTCGTACGCTGTGCACACCTCTCTACCTGAACCTGCAGCTGTCTTCTGCCTCCGAGTTCACAAGCGTCCATGGTCATTCCCCTTCAACCGCTGAGATATGGACAACTCTCGTAATCCTTTACTCTCATCACGCAACGCTTACCCAATGATACTGTTTTACTCTGCAGTAAAATCACTTTCAACGCTGTCCGCCCTAGAGAGAAGGTGGGAGAAGGGGTATCTCTCCCCCTGCCTTCTCCGTGGAGACCTGCGATCCCCTGTGAGACTATGAAAGAGCACCTAGCGAAGCTTGAACAGACCACCTTGTGAAGACCAGATCACCTTGTGAAGGCCTTTGAGCTCTAGAGGAGCTCAGTGGAGCTCGTGCCATTACTAGTTTTGAAGAGTATAAGTAAGTTACTAATAGTCTTCTCGGCGATTAAACTAAAGAAGCAGGTGAACTAGCAGAATCCCCCCTCCCCCATCTCTTTGCCTCTTTCGAGGCGAACAGCGTCTCTCTTTTCATATTTGACATTTATTTGAATATTTTCTCTCCTCAATTCTCTATGAGTTTCGTTCTGTATATTACTTGTACATTATTGTGAAACGCTTGAAGAAACCTGAAATTTGAATGGAATCTATTAGTTTAAATAAGCCTTTGTGATTGTACCACTGTTACTATTTATGGAATGTTCTATTTGTATAATTTTCGATGCTACGGGTATCGATGATTATGTTACGATACAAACTGAATAAAGAATGCCAGTGTGTCACTAGCAATCAGGACAATCGAATCAGGCGGCCACCCCCGCTAGCAGCCCACGGTTTGTGGGGAATTTGCGTTGGCACATCGCCAACACAAGGAGCGACAACGCTTTGTGCTGAGACCGACGGCCATTTGAGAGCACCCCAATGTGTCCCTAAGTTGCTCAAGAGCCATTGAGAGCACACAAGTGTTCCAGCATACTGTGGATGAAAGGCACGAAACTTCTTGGAAGCATGAGGGTGGCCAATCAGGGAAATTTATGATTGATGAGGAAACAACCTCGCAGTATCATTCAGATTTCCTCATTTATTTTGTGCCTGTGCCTCATGAGTAGTCTACAGGGCACGTCTTGTCGTTGGAGTAAATATTGCAAAATACCCTCGTATCTCTTTTACCCTTAAAATTTCCCCCTTTAGTACGACGTCACACGCTCCGATCCTGCCTACCATCTTCTCGAATTTTCTTTCTGCCACTTTCGCAGACTTTTTTTTGAGCAGTTCCAAAAATTTCTTCTTTACCCAAAAAAACCCGCCGTCGCACGGGGAAGGAGGGAATGGGTGTGATGAATATGGCACATGTGAAACGGAAAAACCGAATACTTCAATTCGCCTCGGCGAATACGGCCCTTTTCTTTAGCGACCAAAGTACGACCCCCTCGCTGGCTTGGGATGCGTGTACCCAATGTGCCAACGTACTATGTACCCTGAATTTATAAACACCCTTGAGAGTTCATTTTTTCTCACAATGCGAAAACACTTCTGCGGCCGCTCCTCAGAAATTCTAAGCATGATGAGCGCCTAAATGGAAGAATCAGCTATGGGAAGGAATTTTTTCGAGAGCCATTACAGTCCAGCGTCAGTTACTGTACAAGCCCCCACTGGTGTTTTACAAGAGGAGCACGACATTGTTACAAATGCTGTATGGTCGTGGCCAGTGAAGAAATGACATTTTTTGCCCCCCCCCCCTGTATACTACCCAACGCACCCCCGTTGGTTATACAGGGGGGGGGGAATGTCATTCCTTCATTGACTTTCGAGGCGCTATAAGTTACACTTTATTGAATTCTGATCGGACATTTTTACCACCATATTGAAGAGCATATTAAATACTATCATGACACTCCGCCACAGCCTTCTGGACGAGCGCCATCGAGAGATTCTGGCACGCGACCGCGATGTGGTGCCTGAGATCAGCGAGATAGTCGATTTCTCCGCCACCGTAGACCACCCTATTGAACTCCGCCCGAACCGGGTAATTGAGGGGATTCAGGTCAGGTGACCTACTTGGATATTCCATCTTCTTTAGGTACTCAGCCCCCTTCCATTCCAAGTAGGCGAGAGTTTCTCCAACGCCCTTCGATTCCATGTGGTGGCACCCAATGCTGTAGCAGTACAAAGTTTCCAAGAAGGTACGGGCGACGACATGTGGAGAGGATATTCTTCTCGAGTTGCTCGATGTAACCGCCAGCGCTCACCTTCAGTCCGGGGTCCACGAAGAAAATATTGGTCTTTCCATTCCAGGTTCCGGTCCATACCATCAACCCGCGCCTTGGCGACTGTGGTGAAGATGATGTCCTAGACCGTAGCGACGTTGTCGGAGCTGCTCGATGTTGGAGGTCTTCCAGATCGAGAGTACTGGTCTCCAGGTAGCTATCCATGGGTGACTCCATACTAGAAGTTTCGCAGCTGTTTGGAGGTGACATGAATTCCAAAGGTCTTCTCCAGTCAGGCTGCGACTGGAGATGACTTCATATTTTGGTGTACATGAAGGTGATGGGCGAGAGCCAGCTCCTGCTTATCGAGGAACATCTTGGGTATCTTCCGCCCTGGTACTCGTATCCACGTCTTCTCTCTGGGCAGCGAAAACTTTGCTGATATGTGACTCGGTCGAAGTGACTTTTTTTTGCCCCCCCCCCTGTACATGTAACTATGCCATGATCATAACGGTCGAGTAAGATAAGTAGTAGCGAATTTTCGATGGCTTCATTTATTTAATAGAATTCCATACACGCGAAGATGTTCAGTGAATAAACCGAAAACTTTGCATGACCTGACAGCTTCAAAACAGTAATCTAAGTTGGTAAGTTTTAACAATAACCGCAATAACCACGTAAGTCCGCGAATTTTTGCTACTTGCTCTCTTTTCGCAAGCAACGTTCCGTTTTATTTGGCTCTTCTGAAAGAACTACCATCCCTTCTTATTTGTCGTTTTGCTGGACATAAATTCATCGAGTGAACTCCAGCAAGCACTAATGCATGCCAGAGTAATTCAGAGGACTCGACTTCTTCGAGGAACACCGAAAGATCCATATGAAGTGTTGATATAGCCTTTCAAAGGCTGTTAAACTCTGTTATTATGCTGATGTTTCAGCTCCTTGGCTTTCTTCGGAGCCTGGAAATGTCGGTAAACATTCGGAAACGGTCCGCTGAAGAGGTTGAACGATCCCGAAGACAGTTCCACTACCCTGGTGAACCTCTACTAGCCGTAGGTCAACAGGAGATTGCCACCAGGCTCTCTGTGACGAGATATAACCCGGGTACCCCATTGTTGTGATGATAGCAGGGGGGGTCGTATTTGACAGCGGGTTAGGGGGGTCGTATTTGGTCGTTGTTGGGAGAGGGACTGCCAAAGATCTATACAACTACTATTTCCGATAGTTGAAAATGATAGTTAAATCCTGACGACCTCCCCCCCCCCTCCCCCGCTCGACAGCAAAATTTTTCGGAAAATTTCGGAAAAACTGATAGGACGTTATGGAAGAACTGAGGATTATTTCTGTTTCGCATTGGGTATACACGGAAAATTTTTGGCTCAAAAACTGGAATTTTTTTTCGGGAAAATGGAAAAAGGAAGTTGGGAATATCTAGGATAGGAAGTTGGGAAAATTGAGGAAAGTGATAGGTAGCATGGGGAGGGGGTCATTTTTGAAGATGGAATTAGGAATGGGGTCGTTTTTTTCAAGTAATGATCACAACGCGATGGTGTGCTCTAGGTGAAACATCCAGTACTAGGACTTTTGCATTGAAGCACCACTACCTTGATCTCCTCGTCCTCATAGGAGAACTCTCAAAGCGTCACAGCATCTTATCGTGCTGATGAAATGGACCAATAGTTCTGAAGTAGTATAAAACTAGTTGTAGCGTGAACGCCGTCGATTTATCCGGACCTGTCGGTTACGCAGTAAAAGGAATATGAGTTATAATAATACGAAGCTGACACTATGACTTCGAAAGGAACTGGTTATCGGCGGAGGTCGGTGAGCAACTTTTCAAAAGGGTACCAGAGTCGAACTAAAACTGAACTGAAAAATGGCAGAAAATTAGCAGTAAATAAAGTATCAAGTGGAAAGAAAACCTAAGCAACGCAGAAAAAGGCGAATAGTGTTGCTGAAATCCTTTCAAAATCGATCAATAATCGGGAAATAGATGACAAATATATAAAAGGGTAAGTGAAGGATGAAGTCTCCGCCGTTGATCAATCCCTTTGTGGGATGCGGCACGCATTCTACTTCCATTCAGAATCGTAGTGGCTTATTGAATGCGATGTGGCCTATACAATGACTTGCGGGGCCAGCCGATGTACAAGTCAGTGTTTTATCCTCCCAGACGAATCTGGTACCAATTTACCGTCCCGGGGTATAGAAGGCTTGGTGGGCCTCGGTGAATCTGGGATTTCATCCCTGGGCCGCCCGGCGCGCGTCATAGGCGTCCCTCTTGCCACTACACCACCTCCACCACCGAAAAACATCGAATGAATTCGGCATGTCTGATCTGTCCGTCCAGCTCTTTGTATCAGTAGTGTCCATATCAGAAGAAAGGAGCCATTATTAACATTGCTTTTTTTCAGGGAATGACTGTGTCAAACCTGTGGAATGTTGAGATACCTCGCTTGTACAAGTGGAGACAGATAAAAAATGATAAAAGAATGATGAGGGACAGGACAATCTGGATGTCTAAGCGACATTTTAGCAACTAAAAACTTACTCATGCATCTACTAGCTAGTTCAAAGAGAGTTACACT